TTTTCCATGATAATGTTCTGTTTTTGCCTTTGGGTGTATTCTCTATATCACAATAATATTGTAATTATTATTATTTTTTTTTTTGCCTGACCAATTCTAAAAATGTCACTTTGAATCATATCCAGTCTCTTTCAATCAATAACTTGCATACCGTGGTGTGTAGATTTGTACTGTCTTATCCGTAGCCAATGGGACAAGGACTTGTCTAATGGCACTGACATGGTCATTGACACAGATATTTACTTTTGAGAGATGAACTAAGGAATATGAGCAAGAGACTGGCTTTTGGCTAATCCATCGTGTTTTTCTATTTGTACGAATTGTTTTGAGAAATGCACTTATTATTTTACAAATGTAGAGGATGATTCGAGAAATGTATCAAAGCGAAAGATAAAAACTGTCTAGAAAAGTACTACAGTAAATTTGCTACAAAGTTATTTCAAAGTTAACTGCATACTAATTACATAATTATCTGGATACTAATTATTTAAGTAATTTAAATAATTTTACACTTTGAGATGCATTTCTAATAGATTTAATAAAAAATGTAATAATAAAATGTACTTAGAAACAGATACAAACCCATGTATTCCGACCCACAAGTCCAACAGGAGAATCTTGTCCACAAAAGGAGCAATGATCTTTGGGGTTGAAAACTGTAAACACATTTTTTGCAAATCAGTGCTCTATTTGAACTGTTTAACTGACAGATAGACAGTTAATTCATGGTTTATATATTAACTTTAAACATTATAAATTTATTACTATAGTATATACAAATAGTGAATTCTTCATTCCTTTTCAGGGTAGAAATCTAATTATTTTAATTAGGTCATATATAAAGACTAAGATATTGTTTGAAGATATTATAGGAACCGATACAAATTTAAACTTTATGTTTTCATTACCATTGTAAAGCCAACATAATAATACGAATCAAACTCGCTGCTCAAAAATGACTATAGATCAGTTTGTGGGAGCCTTGGCTTTTCATGCCCATGTGTAGTATAGAGCACTTACACTGAAGGATCAGTGCAATATTCTCCTTAATGGTGTGCTTACAATACATACCTGATGCTTCTAAGATTGTTCCAGCCACCCCCTTACGTAGCTTGGAAAGGAGACGCATACGGGAAGGTATCATTATTTCAGATGGTGTCACTGGAAATGCCTCCACCACCTCCTTAGCCATCTGTTTGGTAACATAAAAAGCATAAAATAAAATTTCAAAATACATTAGCCATAGCATAATAAGAAATTTAAAAATTACACTGTCGAGGTAATGTAAAATTTTGTCTTGTTTCAAGGTTTCAAAAATTTTACCTGCATGACATAAACTCCACAGCTGCAACCATCTTGCTGTATGCTGTGGTTCAAGACACCATGTGTCCATGTCACATCCACCCAGTCGGTCTTACCATAAAGTTCCTGCCGCATTTTGAAGAATTCTCTAAATGCGTATGAGAATTGTATTATTGAATTTGTAACCAGGTATCATTTCACTAAACTGTCACCAAAGCTGATAATAACAGTACTTGATAATGTACTGTGTGTTCATAAAAAAAGAGAAATATTATAATACAATACCTGAATCTTTCAGCAGCAAGTTTAGATTCTTCTTCTTCATCTATCCCTTGGGGATCCACCACAAAGACTTTCTTCAATTTCTTATCAAGATACTGTAAAAACATTTTGTTTGGTTAGTTTAACAGTTAGTTAGTTTGTCTATGTATGTAAGTAATTAACTATGATTTGGAAATGGTTTTACACACCAGAAATTTCCAGTGGTTTTTATGCACTTGCATGAAGCCAATCATGGCATCATATTTGTCAAAGTTGACCTGTAAAGCAGATGAAATATTATTAAACTTGTCTTTCTGACCTTTTATTTTTGCACTAAATAACAACTGTAAAGACTAACCTTTCGAAAACTGTGCCTTGGCAATTCAGACCTCTCCCCAAACACAATCACACCGGCAGAGTAGTGGTTCAATAAAAACAAATGTCTTCCATTTGGTTGTGAATTCAACAGTGCTTGGATGTAACTTTCAATAATCTGCAATTATTAAATAAAATGAAATGTATTAATCCATGTAATCCCAACGGTCACAATAGTGACCGTAAAAAAAAGGTTTCATTTCTAAAGCTATAGAAAATGTTACTGAATAATCTATCAATGCATTTCCAGCAGATATTGAAATATTAAAGGGTCTCAATGAAATATGTGCAGTGTCGCATGTTTACTGTAAATAGTCACATGACCAGAGCTGTTTATTTCCTGTTTGTGCCTTGACAAGAGGATTGCAGCAAGAAAGCTCCCAAAGAAAAGATTAGTAAAGTATGTTAACATAAAGATAGGACATAGTTATTTGGTACACGTCATGTTCAAGGTGTCTAGTATTGATATATGCATTTGCAATTACTCAACTTTGTTTAATGTGTTCACAGAACTCACAAACATGTCAACAGCAACAATAGTGACTGGTGGGATAACACATTGTATCTAAATGCCAATACACAATACCTAACTTTATACGTAATTTTACATACAGATACATACACAGAAACATACACTCACACTCGCACATCACACACACCACGCACGCCACACACTCCACACACCCCACACACGCGCACAACACACCCCACACGCACACCCAACGCCACACCATGCACACTCCACACGCACGCACACCGCACACGGACACCGCAACACCCCACACGCACGCACACCCAACACCCCACAACCTACATGCACACGCACGCACACACCGCAACACACCCCACACGCACATCACACACAGTCAAATCACACACTACACACCCCACACGCACGCACAGACACATACACACACGCACATGCACACACACACAAACACACACACACAAACACTGCACTGTCAAATAGACCTATATTCAGTCTGTCCAATGGTTGATACAACACAGTATCCCACCGGTCACAATTGTGACCGATCATAAAACTCACTTTTTCACACACGTTTCCATGAAAAGTAAAAAAAAAATTTGATTGATTGTTTCAAAGGGATACTAATGACACATGATTTGGATATTTGTGTGTCTGTGAAAAAATTGGGATTAAATGGGTTGACCCTAAAATGTATTATAACAAATAAACTCATATTTGTCAATGTCTTTATTCATTAGCCTACCAATAGTGATAGTGAAAGTTCATGCACATTATAGTTACTGTTTAACATTTTATAAACATGAATATATAAATCCACACTCCAGCAGTACAAATATTTAAATGCATCCTGAAATGTTTGTTACAGTTTTTCTGAATTGCTAAAACACTAAACCCCTCTGAACCAAATTCTCAAGAGGCTAAAAAAATAATTGTCGAATAAATCACTCTTTCTGTAAAACATTAAACAAAGTTCAGGTGTTTAAAACACTGTTTGCAAATCTCGACTCAAAATTGTTCACACTTATTTCTAATGATGTGACCAAACCAACTGTACATAATACAAGTCAGTTCAGAGTCCCACAATTGACTCAAAATGTTGCACTGAATGGTGATACCAACAATGGATGGAAACAATATAAGAGGGAGAGAAGGAAGAGTATGTGTGTAAGAGGTGGTGAACAAGGAGGAAGTGGATGAGGAAGAGCAGGTGTGGAGAATGTTGTCAGTGCTGACTCTGCTTTAGGGTTTTTCCCTTTACCTCAGAGATGACAGTGTGTGTGATGAGGAGAAACTCCTCCGGCCGGACCAACATGAAGACATTATGCTGAAGCAGAATCAATCTCTCTCACTGACTGTGATTCTGCAGTCTTCTGAGTGTACTTTACTGTAACATGCTTTTCATTGAGAGTTTTTTACTGTAAACTTTTTGGCTGTTGTAGTCGGGTCGCTGTATTTTCACGGTATGCAAGTGGTGAATACTGTATACAGACATTTGACAGGCCTACTATTCAATATTCAGTGCAATACTATACTTGCAGTGGATACAGTATACAATTTATTCACCTTATTACTGTATTGTCATTATACTTTTTTACGTAATTGCAAAATTTGTTTACTTAGTTACAATATACTTTTTTCTGTAACTGCATGCTTTGAAGTCTGTCTTCTCCATTTTTTGATGTTGTGTCTAATGAATGATCTGTAGTGTTTATAATTTTGACTTGCCGTGTGTATGATCTGAGAGCATGGTGTGATTTTGAGCACAGGTAAAATGGTTTTGAGGCAATTGTTCGATTTTGCCAAAAGTGTCAGAGGTTCTGTGAATTTTGGTGTGAAAGTGTGGTTTTGTGTTTAAGGTTTTGAGAAAGTGAGTGATGGGTTCAAGAAATGTGTTTTAGCAATTCAGAAAAACTGTAAAATAGACCATTTTGTCATTTAATGGTGTTTAATGTAAATCCTTATTTATGTAACTAGAGTATATCAATGTTTGTTATTGTAGACATATGTTTACCTCCCCTTTCAACCAGTTGTGTGGTTTCAGGCTTTTAAATTCTGTCAGACGGAGTGTATACGAGACATCCTTGTCAACTGATTGAATTACTGCAACCACGACTTCGCTGTCTCTTGAATTCCAAAAAGCCTATAAAAATTAGATTGGAGAGAAAAACAATCAAGATTCACTGCACACCAATAAATTCCTTTGTGCTGGTTTTACTTTGTGTCCATTTTCATGAACATATACAGGATAGACAGTTAACTTTATAAAGACAAGTACAAAGCTGAATTAAATGTATTTGTATATACTTATACAGACAAGAATTGATACATATTTTTATATTTTTTTTATGCAGAAATGTAATCAAGTTGTTTTGCGTTAAACGGTGAATGTTTCAAACAAACACATCAACGGTGTCGAGCGGAAGTAATAACAGTTACAGGGAACATAGACATGGATTTTAAGTTGACAACTCAACTTAAAAGTAACTACATTCTCATGTTAGTGGAATTAATCCTTAACAGAAGTACATTCACACATACAAATAATATAACATGCACATTTTTTTTTTTTTTTGCCTGTATAATGTCCTCATTACGTACATGGCCTGTGGCCTCAGTGACAATGTCCGTTTGAGCTTTTGATGTCTATGATGAGAATACAGAAGACATCAACATTTGCATGTTGTTGTGAAAAACTTTAATAATGTTAGGGTATTTATACACTTTAAAAAGTAGTCGTGGCCTTGAATTTGCCTTAAATTGACATCGTCTTACCTGGGAAGGGTCAGACACGGCTCTGACATTGTCAGTCGTCTTTACTTTCGACTTTGGCCGTCCGACAGGATTTTTAGATGTCTATAATGAGAAAACAGAAGACATCAACATTTGCATGTTGTTGTGAAAAACTTTAATAATGTTAGGGTATTTATACACTTTAAAAAGTAGTCGTGGCCTTGAATTTGCCTTAAATTGACATCGTCTTACCTGGGAAGGGTCAGACACGGCTCTGACACTGTCAGTCGTCTTTACTTTCAACTTTGGCCGTCCGACAGGATTTTTAGATGTCTATAATGAGAAAACAGAAGATATCAATATTTGCAGGTTGTTGTGAAAAACTTTAATAATGTTCGGGTAATTATACACTTTAAAAAGTAGTCGTGGCCTTGAATTTGCCTTAAATTGACATCGTCTTACCTGGGAAGGGTCAGACACGGCTCTGACATTGTCAGTCGTCTTTACTTTCGACTTTGGCCGTCCGACAGGATTTTTAGATGTCTATAATGAGAAAACAGAAGACATCAACATTTGCATGTTGTTGTGAAAAACTTTAATAATGTTAGGGTATTTATACACTTTAAAAAGTAGTCGTGGCCTTGAATTTGCCTTAAATTGACATCGTCTTACCTGGGAAGGGTCAGACACAGCTCTGACACTGTCAGTCGTCTTTACTTTCAACTTTGGCCGTCCGACAGGATTTTTAGATGTCTATAATGAGAAAACAGAAGATATCAATATTTGCAGGTTGTTGTGAAAAACTTTAATAATGTTCGGGTAATTATACACTTTAAAAAGTTGTCGTGGCCTTGAATTTGCCTTAAATTGACATCGTCTTACCTGGGAAGGGTCAGACACGGCTCTGACATTGTCAGTCGTCTTTACTTTCGACTTTGGCCGTCCGACAGGATTTTTAGATGTCTATAATGAGAAAACAGAAGACATCAACATTTGCATGTTGTTGTGAAAAACTTTAATAATGTTAGGGTATTTATACACTTTAAAAAGTAGTCGTGGCCTTGAATTTGCCTTAAATTGACATCGTCTTACCTGGGAAGGGTCAGACACGGCTCTGACACTGTCAGTCGTCTTTACTTTCAACTTTGGCCGTCCGACAGGATTTTTAGATGTCTATAATGAGAAAACAGAAGATATCAATATTTGCAGGTTGTTGTGAAAAACTTTAATAATGTTCGGGTAATTATACACTTTAAAAAGTAGTCGTGGCCTTGAATTTGCCTTAAATTGACATCGTCTTACCTGGGAAGGGTCAGACACGGCTCTGACATTGTCAGTCGTCTTTACTTTCGACTTTGGCCGTCCGACAGGATTTTTAGATGTCTATAATGAGAAAACAGAAGACATCAACATTTGCATGTTGTTGTGAAAAACTTTAATAATGTTAGGGTATTTATACACTTTAAAAAGTAGTCGTGGCCTTGAATTTGCCTTAAATTGACATCGTCTTACCTGGGAAGGGTCAGACACAGCTCTGACACTGTCAGTCGTCTTTACTTTCAACTTTGGCCGTCCGACAGGATTTTTAGATGTCTATAATGAGAAAACAGAAGATATCAATATTTGCAGGTTGTTGTGAAAAACTTTAATAATGTTCGGGTAATTATACACTTTAAAAAGTTGTCGTGGCCTTGAATTTGCCTTAAATTGACATCGTCTTACCTGGGAAGGGTCAGACACGGCTCTGACATTGTCAGTCGTCTTTACTTTCGACTTTGGCCGTCCGACAGGATTTTTAGATGTCTATAATGAGAAAACAGAAGATATCAACATTTGCATGTTGTTGTGAAAAACTTTAATAATGTTAGGGTAATTATACACTTTAAAAAGTTGTCGTGGCCTTGAATTTGCCTTAAATTGACATCGTCTTACCTGGGAAGGGTCAGACACGGCTCTGACATTGTCAGTCGTCTTTACTTTCAACTTTGGCCGTCCGACAGAATCTTTTGATGCCTACGTGGACCAGCAGAAATTAAGGATGTGATGCAATGTGTAACAATTCACTTTTTTGTTAATATTAGAAATACTTATAATAATACATTGTTTTTTCATGGTCATGTATGTAATCTTTATTAATGGCCATACTACTAACCTTTTCATTAGGAGAAGGTATAACCTCTGGGGTATGAAAGTACTTGGATTTTTTTTCTTTAGGGTCGCTCATGCTCTTCTTAGCCCATTTCTCCTCAAAGTCCTCCAAACTTTGTTTTTTTACATTTAAACGCTTCAGCAACATCCTGTCTGGAAGGTCATGTTGCAGGATGTGTTCTCTGTACCTTCCCTGCAATGACGCATACATTTTTTGTATAAATGTTGCTGGGCGATGGTACAGTTTTTTCTGTAGGATTTTGTCCTTGACTATAGAGAACCAGTTTTCAGCATGACAGTTTGTGTCATGTGTTTTCTGTAGGTCATCTCTGATAAACTCTCTGTCTTTGAATCGTTGCAAATCGCCAAGCATTATCCCTGACCAGAGTGGAAAAATCGGCATGTAGTCTTTAATCAGAATATCCAGGATCACTGGACAATGATATTTGTTACTGTCCATTTCTGTTTCTTCCGCAGGATCTTGAATAGACATGACAGCCTCAAGTACAGAAGTGAACTCATATGTAAATGGTGACCTGGCCAATATTGTGTTTGCCTCTGGAGGGATGTAGTTGTCCACTGCCTGCTTCTCATCCAGAGCGTCTTGTGGAATTTCTGTTCCCCGAATGTGGTCATGGAGTTTTTGAAGAAACTGACTGACACGCTGTGTGTTTGCTTTGGTATAAAAGACATGGCACATGCACTCAAAAATGTCTATTGCCGTCTTCAGACTGGTGGTGTTTATTAGTTGTGCCACACAGTGAGTAGCAAACTCCTTCAATCCCTTGTCTTTTGTTCTTCTGCCAATTGCTCCATGGACAGCCTTAATTAAATGGGCAGAACATAAGTGAAGAACAGTGAGTTTCCTGAAGTCTGCCATGGTGTCATTTCCTGTGACTAAATTGTAGCTGTCCTTTAGGTAGGTATGTATATCTTGTTTGTTGAAAGACAAAAGGACACTCTGGATGAGTGCCCAACTATAGTCGGTTTCAACGCGATGTATGTTGTAGATAGTGAGTTTCCGTAATTTTGTTACCATCTGGTGCAACCAGAAAGTAATGTTTGGGATAGTGTGATCATTTGTTACCATTTCAGAAACAGGAAGAGGAGGCTTGTCTTTTCCATGTCCTGGTAGGTTGATGCTGTAGTACAGCACTCTCTTTGCCTGACTTGGAACTCGACTCACAACCCCTCCAGTAGCATCCAAATACAAGGTAACAGGATTTCCTTTTCTGAGATGTTGTACAAGGATGTCCAGTCCTGTCTCAGTGAGAAGATGCACTCCAAATGGATCCACTTGCAGATGTTGGACATACCCTGGCCAAAATCTGTATGACAGATCTGTGTCTTTGATTATTTTCTGTGTCAACATCAGCTCCAGGATCACATCATCATGCAGTCTGCAGCTTTTTTTAATTTCACTAGAAATTACTTTGAGTATGTTTTTATTTAAACTTCGAGTGATGTTTCCAGCCATCAACTCAGGAACTGGTGTTTCCCTGAGATTTTTGTAGTACAGATTGCTTACTCCTTGTACCACTTCTTTGGCAATCTTGCCTCTCTTCTGGTAACTAGCTGGCCGGGACCTTATCTCCGGTCTCAAATGTGTTACCTTACCAATTCTTGTAACCTGAATTGGAATTTGTTTGTCACAGCCCAATGGTTTGTGTGAAATATGGAAAATATAATGGGCATTGCAAGATTTGAAGGAACATGATGCCTTAACTGTCATAAATGGGCACCGATACTTACGACTGTGAGTGACCTTTAAGTGCTGGTATTTAAAAACAAGTGTGCAGCAGGGATTTGTTTTCTGAAATTTTTCATAAATGACATGTGTCCATGATTTTTGCAATTTTCTGCTACCTGGCAAAGGCCTTATCTTTCTCCATTTACGTGTGGATATGTACATTGTAAAGGACTTGGGTCCTGGCCTTGTGTTTCTATATGGCTTCTTTTGATGTTGTGGTTGGTCTGCCGATGCTGCTTCTACATCACGCTCTCCATCGCTGTCTGTTACAACAACAGGTGACAGATGGGCCGCAGATGTTGCATCACGCTCTCCATCGCGCTCTCCATCGCGCTCCCCATCGCTGTCTTCATCATCTACTACAGTAACAGGTGACAGATGGGCCGCAGATGTTGCATCACACTCTCCATCGCGCTCCCCATCGCTGTCTTCATCATCTACTACAGTAACAGGTGACAGATGGGCCGCAGATGTTGCATCACGCTCTCCATCGCGCTCCCCATCGCTGTCTTCATCATCTGCTACAGTAACAGGTGACAGATGGGCCGCAGATGTTGCATCACGCTCTCCATCGCGCTCCCCATCGCTGTCTTCATCATCTACTACAGTAACAGGTGACAGATGGGCCGCAGATGTTGCATCACGCTCTCCATCGCGCTCCCCATCGCTGTCTTCATCATCTACTACAGTAACAGGTGACAGATGGGCCGCAGATGTTGCATCACGCTCTCCATCGCGCTCCCCATCGCTGTCTTCATCATCTGCTACAGTAACAGGTGACAGATGGGCCGCAGATGTTGCATCACACTCTCCATCGCGCTCTCCATCGCTGTCTTCATCATCTACTACAGTAACAGGTGACAGATGGGCCGCAGATGTTGCATCACGCTCTCCATCGCGCTCCCCATCGCTGTCTTCATCATCTACTACAGTAACAGGTGACAGATGGGCCGCAGATGTTGCATCACGCTCTCCATCGCGCTCCCCATCGCTGTCTTCATCATCTACTACAGTAACAGGTGACAGATGGGCCGCAGATGTTGCATCACACTCTCCATCGCGCTCCCCATCGCTGTCTTCATCATCTACTACAGTAACAGGTGACAGATGGGCCGCAGATGTTGCATCACGCTCTCCATCGCGCTCCCCATCGCTGTCTTCATCATCTACTACAGTAACAGGTGACAGATGGGCCGCAGATGTTGCATCACGCTCTCCATCGCGCTCCCCATCGCTGTCTTCATCATCTACTACAGTAACAGGTGACAGATGGGCCGCAGATGTTGCATCACACTCTCCATCGCGCTCCCCATCGCTGTCTTCATCATCTACTACAGTAACAGGTGACAGATGGGCCGCAGATGTTGCATCACGCTCTCCATCGCGCTCTCCATCACTGTCTTCATCATCTGCTACAGTAACAGGTGACAGATGGGCCGCAGATGTTGCATCACACTCTCCATCGCGCTCCCCATCGCTGTCTTCATCATCTACTACAGTAACAGGTGACAGATGGGCCGCAGATGTTGCATCACGCTCTCCATCGCGCTCTCCATCACTGTCTTCATCATCTACTACAGTAACAGGTGACAGATGGGCCGCAGATGTTGCATTGCGCTCTCCATCGCGCTCTCCATCACTGTCTCCATCATCTGCTACAGCAACAGGTGACATATGGGCCGCAGATGTTGCATTGCGCTCTCCATCGCGCTCTCCATCACTGTCTTCATCATCTGCTACAGCAACAGGTGACAGATGGGCCGCAGATGTTGCATCACGCTCTCCATCACTGTCTCCATCACTGTCTGCTACAACAACAGGTGACAGAGGGGCCGCAGATGTTGCACCACGCTCTCCATCGCTGTCTTTATCGTCACATTTTTTTGTTTTAATGAAATGTGATCTGACTCCTCTTCTATTTTCAGTCCACACAACATAAAGCCATTTACGATATTGTGCATTATTAATTCCGAACACAGATATAGACAGTTCTGGCCATACCTCTGAACTCCATTTCGTTTTCTTCTTCGTTATGTTTACATCTTGGAACTTTTTTATCAGTTGAGCAAATCCTCCACATCGACTCCATAAATCACATTTTCTAATCTTTTGACCTCTCTTCACTCTACCCATGTCGACATGAAACGCATTCTAACGCAATGTGTTTGTAATAACGTTAAAGCTCCAATCACCTACTGTTCACGATTGATTTCAAAACTTAAATGACAGTCTCAAATTTCAGCACGTGCAGAATGAGTGACAGTGTCATGTCATGATAGCCTCCGATGTAAGATAACTATTTTTTTTAACGATTTCAATATGCATAAAACAATTTTTTTTTTTTATGTGTATATGCTACATATTAGTATTTGAAACGTATTTATTTAAAAATATAAATATTTAAAAGAAATGCTGTAAGATATGTTTGGCGGAATTCCAAATAAGGTCAGTTTGTGTCACCAACACAATGATTAAAGTGTGTTTGCGTGCGTGCGTGCGTGCGTGCGTGCGTGTGTGTGTGTGTGTGTGTGTGTGTGTGTGTGTGTGTGTGTGTGTGTGTGTGTGTGTGTGACACAGTTATTCCCTAAGTTAAGGAGTCCATTTAAACAAGTATAGTAATATAATTATAATTTTTCTTTTTGCATGACAGGTATGCTTATAGGTAGGTTTCATTTAATAGGACAGAATAAACAGTTAGGAATACCTATGGAATATCCCTTGAAAAACATGAAAACCCAACATTTTATTCATTGGAACTCAGTGGTATTGTAAATATCCAGCCCATAAATGAGAAATCTGTTAAAATTGATGATTATAAGTGTAGTTAAGTCAACCAGAAATATATTGACTTGCAAGGGATTGGTTTGAAAAGTAATAGAAAACTCTCATGAGACTCTATATTACCCAAATTATTCAGAGTAAGATAAAATAAGAATCACTTTTCATTACGCAATAAATATTTTGCATAATGTATATTTCAAAACAAATGACAGTATTTTTTTCAAACATGTTTACTATTTCTAATTTTCAACATAAACAGTTTGTAGTAAGTGACAGATTTAGATATTTATTTTGAATAATGAAATTCATTAACTAATTTATTGTGCTCCAATGCATATGGAAAAATGACTAAGTCAAAGCATATTTAAAGGTGCTCTAGTCTAAGCCATGCCGGGTGACGTGACTTCTTATTGACGTTTAAAGTATTTTCAAACAAAACGGAGGCTATATAGACCCTCCCTCCTCCTCATCTGCACTGACCCCCCAAATCCCACCCCCAGGGCCTTCTTGTCAGTTATTGGCTGGAACAGTTTGTTATGTTTCGTGGACGGGTCGCCGCAGTTTGTCTTTGTTGACATTTGTGGAGCCTGGGTTGTCTGCATAGAAAAATGTTTGGGCCTAAAAAACGTGTGACATCGCTAAGAGCACCTTTAAGTGCTTCCATTTCTATTCCATTCTAAAACAGTTCTTTATTAGGGTAATCCGTACTCACAATCCAGTACAGGCAAGGGTCAAAATCCAAACAAGTAAATCCAAGAACAAGAACCAAACCAGAAACAAGCAAAACAGACTTCCAAAAGGGATGTGACATATAGCAAGGATTCCATGACAAACACTGAAACAGACAGGGTATAGATGCTGGTCATAATTAGAATATCATCAAAAAAAATTTTTTGTCAGTAATTCATTTAAAAAAAAGAAAGTTGTATATTATATAGTCTCATTACATGCAAAGTGAGATATCTCAAGCCTTTATTTGTTATAATTTTGATGATTATGGCTTACAGATTGTGAAAAGCAAAAAAACAAAATCTCAGATAATTAGAATATTACATGAAATTGCACAGTAATCCCATGGTCATTGAACCAGGATTTGGTTATTTTGGCAGAGTAGGCAGGTGCAAATCCTGCTGGAAAATAAAGGAAGCATGTGCTCTGAAAATGTCTTGGTAGACGGCTGCGTTTACTCTGGATTTAATAAAGCACAGTGGACCATAGTCCTCTTTTCTGAAGAGAGACAATTTTGCATCTCATCTGGAAACCAAGGTCACAGAGTCTGGAGAAAGAATGGAAAGGCACACAATCCAAGATTCTTGAAGTCCAGTGTGAAGTTTCCATAGTCTGTGTTGGTTTGGGGAGCCTTGTCATGGGTGGGTGTTGGTCCACTGTGCTCAACACAGCCGTCTTCCACGACATTGTCATAGCACTTCATGCTTCCTTCAGCAGACAAGCTGTATGGAGATGCTTCCTTCATTTTCCAGCAGGATTTGCACCTGCCTATTCTGCCAAAATAACCAAAACCTGGTTAAATGACAATGGGATTACTGTGTAATTACTTTGTGATTTCATGTAATATTCTAATTTTCTGAGATTTTGATTTTGTGGTTTTCAGCTGTAAGCCATAATCATCAAAATTATAATAAATAAAGGCTTGAAATATCACACTTTGCATGTAATGAGTCTATATAATATACAAGTTTCTTTTTGAATGTAATAACTGAAATAAATCAAGTTTTTTGATGATTTTCTGATTATATGATCAGCACCTGTATATAGCCTATATACACACACACACACATATGTATATACATCTTGCCCAGACTTCAAAACAATGCACAACCACAAGTTTATAAACATTTTATTTAACATTTAGTTGTTGTAAAAGAAACAAGAGAGTTTGTCAATGTCAATTGTTCCCCTTTACTGAATGATTTTTATATCTCTCCCTTCCTGATGGATACAGTTTTTAATTTGTTTTATTTTGACATGGATTATTCACATAAAAGGAGGGGTTGTGAAAATTGTCCCCAGTCCTCCTCTACCGAGTGACACTGGTTTTATGTCTCTGTCTAACTCATGGACAAAGCTATTACAAAAAGAATGTTTATTTTGGACATGCAATACCGATTTCAGCCAGTAGGGGTGAAAGTAGAGCAGTATGGGTAAAAACAAAGGTTGTGAAAGTTGTCCCCTGTCCTCCTCTACTTAATGACACTGGTTTGATGTCTCTGTCTCACTGCTGGACAAAGCTATTACAACAATAATGTTATTTTTGGACATGAAACACCGATTTCCGCCAGTAGGGGTGAAAGTAGAGCAGTAGAGGTAAAAATAGAGGTTGTGAAAGTTGTCCTCTGTCCTCCTCTACTTAATGACACTGGTTTAATGTCTCTGTCTCACTGCTGGACAAAGCTATTACAAAAAAAATGTTATTTTTGGACATGCAATACCAATTTCCAGCAGTAGGGATAACAAT